CACACACACACACACACACACACACACACACACACACACACACACACACAAACACACACACACACACACACACTCACAATCAATCAATCAATCAATCAATCAATCAAAAAAAAAGGAGTGGTGTAGCAAGTGTCGGAAGTACTTTCATTTTGTGGAGCAGTGTACACGTACGGGACGAAGAGGACGTTCGTTAAGCCCTGCACCGAGTACAAGCAGCGGGAGCAGCAACACCAGTAGTCGTGCTTCCAGTCACCCTCCTATTAGCGAAGGACGTGTACAGTCGCCTCAAGGCGGCTTAGCCCATCGCGGCTCGTCCCACCATGGATCTTCTCAGGGAGGAGGGAGGAGGGAGTCGAGGCCCGACTAATGGAAACAGGAGTAAGTCGGCATCGTACACGGGGAAGTTGGGACCTCCGGGAGCAACGACCTCGGGAGCGCGACCTCAAGACGCTTATCAGCCCGGGTTTGTCGACCCGCTCCCAAGGGACAACCCAACGTTTGAGCCGGGGCCAGGGATGGGGACGGTGACTGGTGGGATGAGAAGCCAAGGTGTAGTAGGATGGAGGATGCAGGATACACCAATGGACGAAAGTCACCCGAAGCAGTCTGGAGGTGAAAGGAAGTTGGTAGAAGGCGAATCCAGCGGGGCTAAAAACGGTCAAGTAGGTGGAAGCAAATTCAAGATTAAGGCGACGGAAGGGGCAGAGCCTTCCTCAAACAGTAGAGCGAGTGCAGGGGGAGATCTCACTCCCACAAAGCTTCGAAGGCGGTTAAGTGAGGACATGAAGGAACTGAGAATTCGGGAAGAAGAGTTGGAAGGCGAACCATCGTTTCCGTCGGTGGAGGCGACAGGAGGTCTTTCGAAGAACGTGCCGGAAAGGACCTCGGCACGAAATCAAGGCGTCATGAAACGTAACAGGAGACAAGTCACGGGCATAGACAAGGAATGGGAAAAACATCACGGGAGATGTGCTCTTACGTTGAGATTTACTTCTGCGACATTCTATCATCGTGAAGGAACTGCACTGAGCTGGACACAGGCCAGGAGCACCTTACAGACCTCTGGGATCTGGTCGGCGTCAGGCTACCAACATCGGGTCGCCTAGACTTAGATAGACCCATCTCGGAGGCAGAATTGGACCAGGCCATAGGAGCCATGGCAAAAGGGAAGGCACCTGGTTCAGACGGGATCCCCGTAGAATTCTACGATAGTTTTAAAACGGAACTGAGGGAAAGTCTGTTGGAAATGTACAACAATGTACTGACAGGGGACGACTTGTCTAATAGTATGCGCCACGACATCATTACTTTGTTGTACAAGAAAGGTGATAGGGATGAAATCCGGAACTGGAGACCCATATCTAGGTTGAATGTGTCTTACAAAATTTTAGCTAAAATATTAGCCAGAAGATTGTCGAGGTACTTGCCAGATCTCGTAGATGAGGACCAGGCGACGTTTATTCAAGGTCGATCAATCTTTGATAATGTAGTAACAGCCATCGAGACCTTGGAGATAGTTGAAAAGGAAGATAGACCGTTGGCAGTACTATTACTGGACCTTGAAAAAACGTATGACCGCGTAAATTGGAGCTTCGTATTGACCACTTTGAAGAAGATGGGTTTTGGGTCCTTCTTCTGCAGATGGGTAGTGACATTGTACACACAGTCCACGACTGCAGTAATGGTAAACGGCTTCTTGTCGGAAACCTTTCACCTCACCCGCTCCCTGCGCCAGGGTTGCCCCCTTGCGCCTCTCATCTTCGTTCTGCAGTTAGAGGTCGTTATGTGTAACATTAGACATCGGCCAAAGATCCGTGGGATGGTCCTGGGTAAGGGAGAATGCAAGGTAAAACCTGTAGCGTGCGATTTATTCGCTATTTGTGAGAATACCTCAGAAGCCTTGGAGGCCTTGAAAGGCCTGTTGGACGAGTATGCACTCTTTTTTGAAAAGGCAGTGAACTGGCAGAAGTCTGTGTATTTTCTACCCCACTCGTTGAGGATAGCAACAGACCGGGGAATGAAACACATTGATAGGAACGAAGCAGAGCGGTTTTTGGGAGTAATGATATCGTTGGAGGCCTGTCAGAACACGCAGAAGGATATCCAAAACAGAATTGTGACGAGGCTAAGGTCATGGGGCGGTGCACCTCATCTCTCAATTTTGGTCCGGCAATGGTCATAAACGCGTCCCTTTTGTCTTTATTATGGTTTGTTGGTAGGGTAAGGAAGCTGAGTCCCTCATTCTTAGCCCTGGTTCGCCGGCTATCTGCCAAGTTTCTGTGGAAGCCAAAAGCAGTGGATGATGAGGGTTTCATCACAAAAGTGGTTTGGGAACTGGTGACTCAGCCTAGAGAAGACGGCGGTTTGAGAATTGCTGACCCCCAAAGGAAAAACTGTATTTTGCTTTCTCAATAGCTGACCAAAGTTTCTATGAGTCATGACTCGGAACACTGGATTCTTATGGGGGAACATATCTTAGCGGAAGAGTGGGGTCTGGAATGGAAGCAGAACGTGTGGTTTTGTTTACAACTAGAGTCAGATATTAACCGAAGGATTCAGTCAAGCTTTTGGGCAGGGGTGGTAGGAGCTTGGAAGTCGGTTAAACCCAATACCTGGCAGGAATCTGTTACAAAACAGGAAGTTTTGAATCAACCAATCTTTGATAACCCATTTGTTCTGAGTCAAGATGAGTCTAGGTTTCGTGCACAAAAAGGGGCAGGCTTGTTCGGAGACAGTTGGGTCTGGAAGGGAGTCCTAAGGCTCGCTGACCTATGGGAACCTACACAGGGCCAGTGGTGTTCTGCAGGTACACTAAGGGCTAAACTGGGAAACTTACATAATGTGGAGGAGAAACTGGAAATCCTGCTGTCAGCACTGCCGAGGTCATGGCATGACATACTTGCCCCAGATGGGACAGACCCACCAGGAACGTGGTATGTAGTAGAACAACCTGAAGGCATTCGCTCTTATTGGAAGCTGACTTCGGTCCCAATAAAGGGGATGAGGAGGTTTCAAAAATGGTCGAGACAATCTTACTCGTGGCAGCTAAGGCAAGAAGTTGGCTCTGAGGAGCAACCGCCGCTGGGTGTGGTTCTGAAGCAAGTAAGAGTGGAAGAGAGATGGGAAACGGAAAATGTACATGAGGTGTGGTTGGTTATGGAGTCACCACTGGTGGACTGCAAACTGGACCCGGGGTCGTGGGGTTGGCGTGGCCAAGGTCTAAAGGGTTCAACACTACTGCTGCATCAGATGAACCAATCCCCAGAATTGGGATTACCTGCAAGAAGGCCAATCACAGTGGCGACAGGACAATGGGACAACTTGGTAAGTGGTACAGCGGAACAGGTAATTCACGGGATGAATACGCTTTGGTCACAGATCAAACTTCTCCCTTCACAAAAACACTCTGCTTTACTGTGGCATCTTTCTCTTGAAGTAACCCCCTCCGCGATTTGGTTAGCAGGGAAAGGAATGGAAGTGCGGTTATCCTGCACCAGATGTACCTGGCCTTTCGAATCAACGTTGCACCTATGGTGGGATTGTCCTGCCTCCAGGCGCATTTGGGGGTGGTGGGAGATGCATTGGAAGGAGTTTTCAGAATGGGAATGGAAGTGGGACAAGGAATGGGCACTGTTGGGAATCCTCCCGGAGGCTGTATCGCTAACAGAGGGGTGTGGTTATGTTGTTCAAGCCTGCAGGGCAATCATCTGCTCAGTAATATGGGACTGTCGAAACAAAGCCTGTTTTCAAGGTAAAGGCACGTCAGACCTGGAGATTAAGAGTACAATCAAACCACAGACATTGTCAAAAATCGGTGGCAGAGGGACTCTGCTGTGTCAACAACTTCCCTTCGTAACTTTCACTGGTCTCATTACACGCACATCATGCCTACCTCTCAGAGGGCGTTGCAATGGCAGATTGTATATAGATGCCTCCCGACCCCGGATTGGCTTGTGTCAAGATCTACACTTGAACAAAGGGGCATTGCATCCCCCCTCTGCACCTTTTGCGGGACATCGACGCCAAAGCTGAGGGCCGACCTTGAGCATTGCCTTATGGACTGCCCCATGGTCAATCAGATTTGGCGGTGGTGGGACGCTGCATGGAGGCACCTAACAGGGATAGACCTCCCTTGGGACCCAGGGTCCTTGCTGCTGGACTTACCCACATCAACCCAACAATCATGGTCCCCCTTCCAATCCACCCTCTTCCACTATACGCGCCTGGAGGTCCTGATGACGGCCTGGCGAGCCCGGTGCTCTCACGAACGAAAACAACACACGTTTGGCTTCCTGCAAGCCAGAGCTTATATTATAGACACAATCCGGGCAAACATCCACCAGGCATGGAAAGACCTTAAGGAGTCATTGAAAACCATGACAGATGACACCAAGAAAAGACAACGAATCCATAGGTTTGAGCACGAATGGCTGGACCCTTCGCGAAAGCTCGCGACTTTGGATGACAACCAAAATCTCCACTGGAACCAATGGTGGCTACACGAAACCAGCTGGACAAGACGGCCCCCTCCACGCACCCGTAGATCCTCTCAGACAGAACTGGTCATACCCCGCCCCCATGTTTCTCCCCACGATCTGCCACAGCATTCCCCCCCTTCGACTCAACCCCCGACACCTCCCCATTCCCCACCTCCCCCCTCCCCTCGACCAATTTCCCCGGATCCGAATTGGGACCGATCTCTTTACTGCCCCCGCTTGTCTGCAGAAGAGTTGGGTGCTCCCCCGCTCCCCACTGACCCCCCCCCCTCCCCCCCCCTGCCGCCGATGAGCCCAGATACGCCCCCCGACTCACCCCCTCTACCCAGCCATCCGCTACCCCCCTCCCCCATACTACACCGGCCTTTGGACCCCCCGCTCCCCACAGACACACCCCCAGCCACCCCGTCACCGCCACCCCCATGGCCCCCCATGCCCTCCACCCCCACCCTCCCTCCCCCCTATTGGTTGGACTCAAACTGCGAGACATAACCTGGAGCGAACTGGTTGTAAGGAGAGCCAATGACATGTATATCTACAACACAAGGCAATGGACATACAGGAGACCAGGGGGAGAAGCTGCAGACCGGCTGGCCTCACAGATGTCTCGGATCAGGATCTGACAGATAATGATTCTTCGATCGGGCCAGGCAGGAGCCCGAACGAAGGCCACACCCAAGCACGACTGGCGGATCGTTCATGGTGAAGATTGTGCGGACTACATGATAATGGGATGCTAGTCCCGACCCACTGTTGGATCGGTTGCTGTGGAGGTTTTGTTGACTACATGACTAAGGGACAGACACAACAACTTACGGCAACAACCACACAGCAAGCACATACATACAAAATGACAGTCAACAACCCACAGTAAACTACATTGTAATGGATAGCTAGTACACAGTAACCCCACAATAAAATGCAGTATAAGTGATAGCTCGTAGAACGCTTCAACAAAATCAGGTTTGACAGGGTGTTGGGCCGCTTTCCGCCCGCCCCTCCCTTATGCATGCTAACCTCTCATGCTCGCATTGTTTTCATAGCTTACATGGCTTATATTGGACTTTTCAGGGATGCTGGACCCGATTTCCAGCAGGTGTTGCTCCCCACCAATAGGTGGAGCCACCCGGGCACTGCTAGTGGTGCCTGCTCTTACCAGCACCTGGAAGCAGCTGCTGGACAAGGACGGCTCGACGCAGTGGCGGGG